ATATATATTTCTTTGGGGGGGGTACCCCCCCGGCCGCCAGATGGGCATGGCTCGCAGGCCTTGAGTTTGACACGTGGTCTATATAATTGAATCACCTGAAATATTTACTGAATTATTTGTCACATGTCCAAATATGTACGACAGGTCGGACTGACGTTCCCTGAGGGGCCATTTCAGGCCTGCAGACCCCCAGTTGAATAGCCCTGGTATTCCTGACTGTATGCAGCATTGTAAAGATTCAGAAACATGTCCTTGTTCTGTTTGGGTTCCAGGTGGCACTTGTAGACAAAGCTGGGCGGCGCTCCTTGACTCTGATTGGTCTGGGAGGTATGTGCTGCTGTGCGGTTGCCATGACAGTGGGCATAAGGTTTCAGGTTTGTTGATTTCAATTCGTGAAAGCATGTGCATTATATTAAACACACACTAAGCATAATGCATTACTTACTTTATTTATTCAAGTTAAACTCAGACTTGTTAAGTGCAAAATATTTCTTACAGGTAAAGTCAAATAGTATAAATAATATATATGTAAATATTATGCAGTTTGGAGGTATGATTTTGAGGGCAATAAACTGTACTGATTTTTCTTTTCTTTTTGTTTGTTTAAAACAGTGATGTCCAAAGTCGGTCCTGAAGGGCCGGTGTCCTGCATGTTTTGGGATCAGCCCTGGTTCAACACAGCTGAACCTAAGGAGTGCCTATAGTAGGCTTCCCCAGTATACCATCAAGGTCTGCAGACAATTAGGGGTCTCTGCAGAGTGAGTAGGAGTTCTAATGCACAAAGAGTAGGCGTTTCTAAACATAAACACTGATTGGCTAGTTGTATTTGCTCTGTTTTTCGAAAAGCTTGGTTCTTCTCTTCGGTTTTTCTTTCACTTTTGACTTTAACTGCTTTTACATTAATTTTAGCAGCCAAATCTGAGGCATAGGGGTTAATATTAGGATGGAAAGGGCCAAATCATAGAATCAAGGGGTTAATTTTAGGATCAAATGACTGGGGAGGGCTAAATAATTCCAAAGTAGTCCTCTAAAGGGTCTCTTTCCAAAGTAAGCTAATAATACAAAGAAATGCCGAAGCAATGATCATCCAATCAGATGTGGTTGTTGACGCCCCCTTTGTGCTGGTCCAATCAGGTATGTCTGTTGTGTACCGCCTTCCCTTGGAAATGCCTACTCATCTGCAGAGAACCCCCTCTCTCTGCAGAGGCCTACTAGTTCAGCTGGTTCAGATGTTATCAGTCCATTAAATGGACGTTATTAGCAGTTATCAGTCCCATAGAGCAGTGGTTCCCAAACCTTTTTATCTTCTGACCCACAAAATATCCATGGCAAAAACTTGTGACCCCAAATATTACTGGTCTGAGGACACAAAATTGTTAACAACCCTAAAAACACAGGCTTTTTGACAATCTAAACAACTTCTACACAAATATAAATACTTATTTATACTTTTTTGTGTTTATGTAATAATTATAGGGAAAATATTACATCAGCAATTATTTTATTACCCTTTAAATTGATTTCTGGAGATTATCCAAGGTGCTTCATGACCCATAATTGGGTCCCAAGCCCAACTTTGGGAACCAAAGCAGTGGTTCCCAAACTTTTCAGCTTTTGACCCACAAAATAACAGTAGCAGAGACCTGTGCCCACAACTGTTTTTAGATGATAAACATTTGTATCAGGTCAACAAAACATGGGCATAATAGTAATATTTATATTCTACATTTATCCATATTAAATACACTAACCTCACTCCTTTGTAACAACTAAGGCAAAAATGTAATTAATTCAGAAAATCCTTTCAGGACCCCAACTTGATGTTTCGGGACCCCACTTTGGGAAACACTGCCATAGAATGACTTCAGACTGTCCCGACAGTGCCCTCTTGTGGGTGACCAGTGCCATTTATGTTGGAATGCAAAAATCTGCTACCGCCGGAGTTCGGTCTACTTTATTGTAGCCCATGCCATTTTCTCTAAAATTAACCTTTGTGGCTTTATGCCTCATATTAACCAGACTGAAGCCATATGGAATGGAGAACCTACTAGGTGGCACAGTCAGGACAGTCTGAAGCCATTCTATGGGACTGATAACGGCTAATAACGTCTATTTAATGGATGATAACATTTGAAGCGGGTGACTAGTTAAGCACTCCTGAGGTTCAGCTGTGTTGAACCGGGGCAGCTCCTAAAACATGCAGGATACTGGCCTTTGAGGACCGACTTTGGAAACCACTGGTTTAAAATGTATGCAGGAAACTCGACTGTCAAGCCAACATGTTTTCATTACGTTGTTTTTCCCTTCAGAATGACTTCTCATGGATGAGCTATGTCAGCATGTCAGCTATCTTCCTCTTTGTGAGTTTCTTTGAGATCGGTCCCGGTCCTATCCCATGGTTCATAGTAGCCGAACTGTTCAGCCAGGGGCCTCGGCCTGCAGCTATCGCTCTGGCCGGCTGCTGCAACTGGACCAGTAACTTCATCATAGGCATGACCTTTCCTTACATACAGGTGAGGAGGGCAGAGCAGCTGTACATGTGTGCGCAGTATGCATCATATCATTGGGAGTTATTTTCTCTTGCAGAAGATCTGATTGTGTTTTTCCTGCTTCTCACCAGGCTTGGATGGATTGTTACGTCTTCATCCTGTTTGCTGTGCTGCTTTTCGGCTCCACAGTCTTTATTTATTTCCGCGTCCCGGAGACTAAGGGTAAAACTTTTGAGGAGATCGCTGCCATGTTTCAGAAGAAACGTAAGACTCCGACAGGCATTGCTGAACTGCAGCAGCTCAAAACATCATCAGAGGCTTAAAGGCGCCGAGTTTCACTATTCATCCAAGTATTAACAGAAAAAAGATCACGAGTGTGACTGCAGTGACAATTATTTGTGTTAAATGTTTACATTAAATTTCAGTTGAAAGTCTTGTTGCAGTATTTACAGCATATAAGTGTCACGTTTATGAATAAGGCTTAATATTACCTGTGTGGACTCTGTGTAAAAATGGTTATATTTGTTTTTGACCTGAGTTCAATTCTGCAGTTTCCCTTTATTTTCAACATCAATGTTTTTATGGTTTTAATGACTCAGCAGCCAAAATGAGAAAACTGGTGAAAATCTTTACAAACTCAGTTCTGGCAAAGTAGAAGCATGAAGTGAAATGTAAATAAAAACAGAATGCAACGGTTTGTAAATCTCATAAACCCATATTTTCTTCACAGTAAAACACAGTAAAACATATTAAATGTAACTATTTTTAAAGGTCATTTTGGATTTGATGGTGCAACACATTGTAAAAAAAATCATTGGATGTGGCAACAGAAGGTTGTAAAAATAAATGTATGAATAAAAAAACAACTTGAGAAGCATTTTACAATTACATTTATTTGTTTAATAAGCAACAGGACAGTAAAAAAATGGAGTTCTTAAATAAAGAAAGTATTTTAGAGAGGCTGAATCACTCAGAAGTGAAGACGTGCAGAGGCTTAGCTGTCTGCAAAAATCTGCATGCAAACACTTCCAGAAATGAAAAAAAAAAAGTTTCTCAGAGGAAAAATTAGACAGACTGAATATTTCTGTTTTGTTCTGTAGGGCAGCATGGTGGCGCAGTAGTTGAGCTGACACATCATAAATACAGGTCCAGAGCCGGCTCTTGGCATAGGCGAACTAGGCGGTCACCTAGAGCGCCATCTGCTGGAGGGGGCGCTGAACTGCAGAAGAAAAAAAAGTAATTATTTGTAATCCCTGGTTGTAACTCTGCTCAGCGC